CTTAAGCCAACGGCACACGCTTTGCTTTTTTCCTGCTGATTTGCTAGTTGGATTTGCGTGTTCGTTGAGCTCTTGTCTCTGATTGGTATATTTTTGGATCTAAAAAATATAACCGAGATATCTAAAGCCAGCGGCTTTTTTTAGATCCAAAGAATATACCAATCAGAGACAAGAATTCAACAAGCACGCGAATCCAGCTAGCAAACCAGCAAGAAAAAAGCATCGTGTGCCGCTGGCTTTGTACGATTTTCGTTACCTGTGATAGCAGCGCCTCTGAAGGGACAAGTTTAAAATGAACTAAAGGTAAAAATGTGAGTAAATGTGTGTGAAGATTCCGCCATTTTCGTATAATAAGCATAAATTAGTCTATCAAAGCAAGTAATAGCAAGTGATACAAAATAATAGCAAGTAATAGTAAGCATAAATAGCAAGTACATAAATTGTGAATATTTTTATTTGTTTAATATTATTATTTATTTGTTTATTTGTTTAATTCAGAACGATCTTGTTGTGTGCCGGAATGCCTATCCAATACAAAAGTACCAATCGCGTAAATTTTCTACCGACAAAAATTGACATAAATAATTATATATTTTTTAATTTTTAATTGAAATAAAAAACTTTCTTAAAATCAAACATTTTGAATTATTTATTACATCTATTTTAAATTTTCTAATATTTATTTTTTAATAAAAATTAAATAGTAAAAATTTTTTATTACAATATATAAATATATTTATGCTTTTGAATCAAGCATCATGTTGGCTTTAATTCCTTCTGAACGCTTATCCTTTATAGAAGCGCTACAAAACACAGGTAATGGAAATTTATGGAAATTTATAAGCCCTGTCTTATATACAGAGCTTTCATTTCTCTTAGTATATGTTCTGTCATAATCATCTGTCATAATCAGTCGATTATTCTTTTCTATAATTCGATTGTGATTGGTCAATTTTTTACGGTTACAACATAAGTTAACAGATTACGACCTCCATAAATCAACCCTTTGTCTAAGACTTATTCTACAATGCGTCGTGTGTCGGTGTCATGGGTGGTAGATCGTAAGAATGAGCCAATCACAATCAAGTATTCTCCTCACATTTATTTGTGATTGGCTCATTTGGTCCACGAACTGAACGGCTACGATACCGACACACAACATTGTAGAACAGGCTTTAGTGCTTAAGTTTTTTTTATGTCCCTTATTCTTGTAGATGATTCTAGATCTTAGGAGAGTCCTATTTCAATAGCACACGACCAGTGCTTAGGAATTTTCTAGAGAACTAATTAGAAAATTACATATTTAACTGGTCAATCAGCGATTTATATTATCGAGTGGCACGACTGCTCACGTTGTCCATTGATTGACTAAATGTTAGATCTTTCAATAGGTGATACATTAGAAAATTTCTAAACGCTGGCCAATGTGAATGGACGTCCAATTGCAACATCTCATGCAGTCAAATGAGACGCTCTTTTGATGTGGTGTGGAATAAGAAAAATTTAAATTACAAAAATAAATTAAGAAAATGACCGTTTTCATGTCTTTTTCAATTTATTGTTTTCGTACATGCTTTTCGGGGTCATTTGAGGTAAGTTAGTCGTTTAGTAAATATAAATCTCTATATTCCCACCTAAGCACATGAACTGTGCATGGATTGCACTAGGTGCTTTCCATTTCCAGTGACACAAGTCGACACAAGTATCATTTTGTTCTTGTTAATATTGAAAGCTAAGAAAGATAAAACCATAGACATAGTATAGATAGTCCGAGCATGCTATATATCAGGCAATGGGAGAGCCGGGCAACCGTTAGCCTTGAGAGTGGTCATGGACGCGTTTTAGCTGTATCCTTATTCGCGTAGGTAATGTGCACGTTTTTGTAGTTCTCTTCCGTGCTAGACGCAACAGTGATAAAGAGGGGCGATATGGACATGACTGTCCATTTTTATTATTAAGAATACAGTTAAAACGCGTCTATGACTCTCAAGGCTAACGGTTGCCGGTTGACGATTCTACTATTACCAATCACATTGACCATAACCAGGACCTACTACATTGTGATTGGCTGAAATAGAATCGTCAACCGGCACTCGTAGCCACGCAACCGCTAGTTTAATATGGCCTTCAGGCTTC